TTGTCTCTATAGAGACAACTTCTACTGTAGGTCGCTTTATTTACGAACGCAGCCCGGTCTCTCAGCGGGGGCCCCTGTATTACTAACGCTGTAGATCTCACGCTTATCGCACGTCTCGGTAACACTTCGATCCGCGGGAGGGATGAATTCTTGGGATGCCTGTTCGATACAATGCCAGCGCACTTGCTATAAAAACGATTTTCGCGGCTCTGTTGCCATTACGAGTGTTAAGTCTCATGTTATGCTGATGTTGTATATATACAACATTACTCGAAATGAAAATATGAGTAGCTTTTGTTTAATATAGCGCCTTTCACGCCGTTGACCTGACATTGGAACTGACATTGACCCTTCAAAGGCTGTTGAGCCAAAGACCCGGAACCTCCCACTGCCGGGACACACGGGCGCACCTTTACCGCTGTCCTCGTAGTGAGCGTCTCAGGAGTAGCGGATCTGCTTAGTTACAGACAGAAATATGGGGTCTCCCTTTAACTGGGGTGTTTCCCCACAGTCCTATGTCATGCTGGTGGGTTAATTGGGTTCTGAGTAACTGGCCCTGGTGTGTCTGTGTGTGTCCTGTGATGGACTGGTGTCCCGTCCATGGCGAGTGTGTTCTGTGTGTGTCCTGTGACCGACTGGTGTCCCATCCAGGGTCCCTGTGGCTGTGTGTGTTCTGTGACGGACAGGAGTCACGTCCAGGGTGTGTGTGTGTCCTGTGATGACTGGTGTCCCGTCCATGGCGTGTGTGTCTGTGTCCTGTGACGGACTGGTGTCCTGTCTGTCTTGCGCCCGTTGCCTGCCGGGATAGGCTCCGGCTCCCCCCCGCGACCCTGAACCGGATGAAGGCTTTAGAAAATGGACGGGTCGATAACATGGGCGCCGCCACGCCGTGCCCAGCGTCCTGCCACGCAAACCTCGCCTTAACCCCTTTCCCCTGAACACCAGTGCGAAACAACCCGGCGCCTTGCAGTGTTTCGCCTGGGTCACACGCACGGTCAGCTTGATACGTCAGGTGGCCACGAAGCCGCCCTGATATAATCCACGGAGAGAGTTCCGCGGGGGGGGGGGTCTCTTGAAGACGCCAGAGGGAGTCAGGCTGTTTGTCAGTTTTTGTTTGTCAACAAAAAGATCGGACGCTCAATCCGGACATTCTGAGCCTCCTCCCGGAAAAAAACTATTTTTTTTTTCCTCTCTTGGAAAAGAATCTCCCTGGGACAGGGCCCTTGTCCCCAAGGAGAAAATAAAAGAATCCGAGGAAAATCCCGAGAAGGGAAGGTTAGTGGTTAATCCCTCTCTGGCTGTTGGTATTATTATTATTATTATTATTATTATTAATAATAATTATAATAATGATGATGATGATTATGCGTATTGAAGCCCTGTAGCTGGGACAGACGGACAGACAGCGCAGTGCCGCACTCGTTAGCAGAGACTGAAGAAAACCTCACACACGGACTGCCACGGACACACACGCGCCCACCCACCCACACGCAGAACCGAGAGAGCGAAGAGGTCACGGCAGCCGGAGTCCCCACTGCGCGCCGCACCGGGTCTGCCCCCCCCAGGAACCCGTACGGCCCCACGGCAGTCACACCGCCGCACACGGCGTGCCTCCACGGCCATTATCAATGGCGCCACATAATTGCATCCAGTTTGAAAACACAACGCGATATTTATTCATCGGCCGACAGAGGATGTGTCACTTGCGCGGGGGCATATATGCCAGTTCGAGGTGTTTATCTCGCTGTCTAATCCCGTGGTGACAAATAAATAAAATCGAGATCAGAATCAAGGCGCACATTTGAAGAGTGAAGGCACGGAGAGAGAGAGAGATGGGACTTTTTAAAAATACTGTACATGGACCCTTCTGGCCGCTGACCTGGTTTTGTTCTGTTTTGTGGTTTTGGTGTGGGGGTGGTGTCTTCGCTAATTACGCAGCTGGGATGCTCTGGCGAGGACAGAGGAAAATGCCCAGAAACCCATTTTGCAGATTCTGCGTGGAGAGGGAGTGTCAGATAAATATTGACACCGACACTCTTGACGACGCTGAAGAGTGTCCAACAGCGGGAGAAATCCGTCCGAATTTGGAGTTTGGGATCAGTTCGGTTTTATTGAGCTTTATTTTTTGGGGAAACTGTTTTTTGGCTGACAGCCGACGGATGAACACCTATTTTTTTTATTTCTGGATTTGGAGTAAGACACAATTATAGCTAAACGACGTATGATATTATTGTCCTATTTTAATATTTCGAAAAAAGAATCACCGTTGTCGTTTAAGGACATTATTCTGATTTTTTGTTGTTTCTTTTTTTTTAATCGTAACAAAATTGTCGCGGCTAGCCGCTGCCCAAACCACCCCTCTCCTTTCCAATTATTTCAACTCCCAATTTAATTCAGGCAAAATGTTCCCGAAATCCGCTCAGCCGGGATAAGATCGCGGCAGACTCGCACGAATTTGAGCGATCTGACGGCCGGCGATCCCTGAAAAAAAAAAAACCCCACACACACACCCCAAAAACAAATATTGGCTTGCCCTCAAAACACCGAAAATCCTCGTCACGCTCACACGTTCGCACTCCCACGCAGAATTTGCAGAAACAAGATCTAGAAACCGTCAAAACGGGGCGCCTGCTATATTAAGGACAAAATCAATGACCTGTCATTTCGGCTGTAGGACAGTAATTGTTTTATTTTTTATTTTATTTTTTACCATCGCCAGCCGACTTAATCGAATTCAGCCCGGTGTTAAAAAAAAAATTAGGGTCCTTTCATAATACTGATAAAGAAGGGCATATTTTCCTTGTTTTTTTTTTAAAAAAATGTCGCAATTCGATCTAATGTGTGGATGTACGTTTGCGAAAGAATAATTAAGTAAACGCCCGCTTAATTAATGTCAATACAAGGACGACCCTTGTGTCTAACAGAGGGGTCTCATTCGCCCTCCGGCCTCAGAGTTCAGGTTCCCTCGCGGACTTGCCCGAACGTGTCCCGGCTCCCACCTGTGTTTTTTACCCCCAGTCCCCACAAAGCTTATATTTCGTTCTCAATGTCGTTTTTTTTTTTCTACACCATTTTCCCTCGTCAAGCAGTAACGCACGGACAGGACGCGATCAGCTTCGCCGTGTTAATAATCCTCAACTTGAGCACTGGCATCAGGAACAGTTCGTTGTGGTTTGTTGTTTTTTTTTAAATAAAACGACAAAGTGCGAAGAAATGTGCAGTGCACAGCGGGTCTCCGTGGAAATGCTCGCTCGGAAAACACGCAGTCCCAAGAGAGACGTGGCTCATATAAATTTTTAATGGCATTTTTGAAGGCAGAAGGCTGAGGAACCCGGAGCAGCGGTCTCGTTTCAAAACGGATATCGACATTTTTTTTATGGGAGGGAAAAAACCAGCCCCGACGAATAACGCCTCGCCGCACTCGACGGACATCGCGCCCGAGTTTAAAGTTTGCTCCCTTGTTATCGACGTTAAAATAACACCCCCCTACCCCCGACCCGACCCCCTTTTGAAGACTCGATACTCCCCTCCTCTCCCCACCAGAGCGAAAAACACCCATTACATCTCGTAAACACTACCGGGGAAACCAAAAAATTAAAAATTAAAAAAAAAAA